CAGGACCTACATGGTAGTATCCCAAAGGGAGCTGCCCTGGAAAGCAAAAGGACCCAGGAGGGCTGGTTGTTCTTCAAGGACAACTTCCTCAAAGCACGAGTTCATTTCAATATACAGAATGTAGAGCCAGCATGGAAGGCAGCATGGGTGAACAGGGAGCTCCTGACAGAGCTCCAACGTCAAAAAGAATTACACAGGAGGAAGTAAGAGGAATACAGTGACATTGTCCAGTTGTGCAGGAATGAAGTAAGAAAAGCCAAAGCTCAACTTGAATTGAAGCCAGTGAGGGATGTGAAAGGCAAGAAGGGCTTCTGTAACTACAATGGCAGCAAAAGGAAGGGTAAGGAAAATTGTGGGGCCACTGCTCATCGGGACAGGCAACCTAATGACTGAGGACATGGAAAATGCTGAGGTACTCAACTTTTCCGTCTCTGCTTTTCACTGGCAAGTTTCCCTCCTAAGTTCCTGACAGCACAGGGGGAGACCCTGGCAGAGTCTGCACAAGTGAAGTGCTATCCACAGTCAAGGAGATAGAGCCAGGGCACACTTTAGCCAGGTGGATATAGAGAAGTCCACAAGAACAGATGAGACGTACCCAAGAGGGCTGAGGGAAGCAGGCTGCTGGCACTGTGAGGCCCCTCTCTACCATCTTCATGGCAACCAAGGGAAGCTCCTGATGACTGGAAGAAGGGAAATGCCACAGCCATCTTCAAGACAGTCAAGGAGGATGATTCAGGGAAACTACAGGCTGGTTGGCCTCACCTGACATCTGGGGGAGGTTATGGGAAAAAATCCTCATAGGAAGCCACTGCCAGGCACACAAAGGAGAGGAAGGTGACTGGGAGCAGCCAGCTTGGATTTAGTAAGGGCAAATCATGCCTGACAGACCTGGTAGCTTTTTACGATGGGCTCAGAGAATTGGCATCAGTGGTATATAGTCCAGCTGGTGGCTTAGCACTAGAGGCAGTCCTCAGGGATCCATACTGGGCTGATGCAGTTTATCGTATTTACTAATGACCTGGACCTGTGGGCAGGATATTACACTTGGCAAGTTCACGGATACAAACTTGGGGGAGTGGCAAATATTCTGCAGGGCATAACTGCTATTCAGAAGCACACTGACAGGCTGGAAAAATGGGCTAACACAAAGTGCAGCAAGTGCAAATACAAAGTCCTGCACCTGGGATAGAATAACCCTATGCAATAGGACAGACTGGGAATTGACTGGCTGGAACGTAACTTTATAGACCAGGGCCTTGATTCCTGATGGAAAACAATTCGAACATTAGTCAGCAGTGTGAGTAAGTTCAATAGCATTTCAGGCCATATTAACAAGAAATGTGTCCAGCAGGATAAGGGAAGTGATTCTCCTTTGTTCAGCACTTGAGAAATCCCCATTTGAAGCACTATGTCCGGTTTTTGGATCCCCAGTACTAGAAAGGCAGTGACAAAACCACAGCAAGTCCAGTGGAGGGTCACCAGAAAGGTCAAGGGGATGAAGTACATGCTGTATGAGGAACAGATGACAGAACTGGTTTTGCTCAGCCTTAACAAGTGAAGACTAATTGGAGATTGTATCGCTGCCTTCCATTGCAGAATGGGAGAGCGGAGAGATGGAGCTACTACTCTTTAAGGTACACAACAACAGGACAGGAGGCAATGGACACAAGTTGGAACACAGAAGATTCCAAGTAAGCAGAAAGTTTTTCACTATTGAGGTTGGTTAAATATTAGGCTACCGAAGAAGAAACTGCAATATATCCATCCTTGAAGATGCACAAAAGTAAACTACCAAGGTCCCTGAGCCATCTGATGTAACTGGACCTGCTTTGAGTAGGGGTTGGAACAAAGACCATCAGAGGGTTGAATTAAAATTACTCTGCAATTCCATCATCTTCCCTGTTGCTCCTTCATAGACCTTTTCCAGTCCTGTGACATCATCTTTGATATGGGGAGGGGCAAGGAAACAGAATTATACAAAACATTTGAGAGCTTGGTGTCCCGCAGTGAAGTTTTCCTCAATTTCTTAATTTATTCCCAGCATTCTCCATTTGCTTTCTTCAACTGCTATTGTATCAATGTTTTCACAAAACTACCCACTATAATCCTGGAAAATCGTTCTTGAGTGGCAAGTCAGTTCTATCTCCCTATCAAGTTATGAACATTTTCGTACTCATCTGTAGCACTTTGTAGTTAACCACAATGAGTTTCATCTGCCATTTTTATACCCCAGTCATTCAGCATTGTAAGATTCTTCTACAGCTCTTCATAGTATCATCAGCAAACTGTCACCTCGCTAGTTATCCTTCATTTTAGGTAAATTATTAATTCCATTGCACAGCACAGTCTCTGGAACAGATCACTGTAGACTTACTTTCCATTCTTCAAATGATTATTTCCTCCATAAGGACTTTCCATCTTATCTGAAGACAGTTCAGTTTTCAAAAGTTCTTGGTAAGAAATCATTTGTGTTTGGCTATCCAAAAGAATTCAAATACATCAATCGGGTCTTCCTTGTCATGTGCTTGTTCACATAACCGAAGAGCTCCAAGGTTTTCTAATGTATGATCTTCCATGACAAAAATCTTAAGTATCAACAGCTATTATATTTACTAATTCTACTTGAGAAAGAGATTCTATTAATCTGCCCATTTGAAGAAAGTCTTCTAGTACCATTCCTTACATCATTGTTTAGCCATGCTGGTTTTCGTCTGGGCTTTTTGAAGCTTCTTAATTGAGCAGCTTGCACCTGTGCCTCCAATATAGCATCTTCAAATGACCTCCATATCATTTCCACAGATTTAATCCTCACAGACTCTTTCCAAAAATTAATCTTTATCTTCTACGATACTCTGTTTTCTCATACAACCCCTGCAACCTCTCTGCTATTATCTTTGTTATTGAAAATTGGTGAAAGGACTGAAAATTTTTTTTATTAATACCATGTTAAATTTAGTACAAAATGGGTGCCCAAAAGATTTGCTTGAATTATTTCACACAGAATGTATGTACTATTCAGAAAAATTTAAATTCTCTTCTCTGCAACTTGATGGGCAAGCTTTATGAAGCTTGGAACGCAGAAATTAACAGATGACTGCTGGTTAAGGACAGAATATACTCCACAATGGCCAGTTTTCCTTTCATGATCAGACTCAGTTACAGCCATGCAACTGTAAAAGTCATAAACTGTTATAGCCAACAAATAAAACAACTAGTCATAGAATCATAGAATCATTAAGGTTGGAAAAGACCTCCAAGATCATCGAGTCCAACCGTCAACCCAACACCACCATGTGCACTAAACCATGTCCCTAAGCACCTCATCTACACGTCTTTTAAATACTTCCAGGGATGGCGACTCCACCACTTCCCTGGGCAGCCTGTTCCAAGGCCTGACCACTCTTTCAGTAAAGAAGATTTGCCTAATGTCCAGCCTAAACCTCCCTTGCCACAACCTGAGGCCATTTCCTCTCGTCCTATCGCTTGTTACTTGGGTTAGTCGAGAGAATTTGTCCCATCACCAGAACTGAAAATAACGTCGCTGGATACAATCATTTTAGACTTCTACAAACTATAATCTAATATTTAATATTCATTTCAGCTCCAGAGCAAAAACTCCTTTGTGACCACAGTGCATTTTCTCATTGGGTAAGATGAAAAAAGCAACCCTGATATCCTAATTTCATTCATCTCCAATGAAAAAACCCTCAAACCCGGTAAGAACAAGGATCATCAATTTATTTGTAATGTACATTTTATAAAAGGGACTCATAACACACTACAATCTTGACACAAGTACACGTGATGTTCTTTCTCCCTGCCACCCCCCACCTCCAAATAGTTTCTGGAAGACTTTAATTGCACAACAATGGTATCACTTTTGCAATCTCAGTGCAACACCTAACACCTAAATAAAATCCTTAGAAGAAACTATGGAACCTACCTTTGCTCTGTTTAAGTGGCATAAATTTAAAGGTAAACACCAGAAAAGAAGGAAGAGTCTGAAACATGGCTGAAAAGACATTCTTATCTCCCTTTCTCAAGTTGTTTAGAGACTGAAGACTCAGAATGCCATCACACATTAGTGGAAGATCCAGTTTCATCATTAGTGAAACAAGAGTTGAGAAACTATGGTTACTAACTTCCTGGAGACTGAAAGACACCTGAATCTTGTTTAATCTATGGAATTCCTACCCAGTCAAGCATATTTAAACACATTTGGGTTAGCATTGTCATAATTTCATAAAAAGCCATACAATGGGAAAAAAAAAGAAAGAAAAAAGAGAAAAAAACCCCAAGATCATTTGAAACACCTTTCTTCATTATAGAACAAAGAGCAGTGTCAACTTATCTGTAAATTACTCATCTGTTTTATTTTCAGAAGTGCAATAGAATGACAATGAGTGCCCTATGTCAAAAAAAAAAAGCTTACAAAACTGCATGACAATAATAGACTATAGAGGACAGCCATTCAGTTTAACATAAAAAATCTTCTGCTAACTACATGAGAAGACTAAAGTACCAGCTTTCTACACTTAATGCTTTCAAATGTTAATCAGTTAGCATAGTCATCAGATAAAAGTTATATAAAAATCACTATGAGTTAAATGAATAAAAGCTATATGGCATGAAAACCATACGACTTGTGTTTTTCATGAAACATTTCCAATACTGTTCTTTTGGTGAAAAAAAAGAAATTTGAAACAAATGGGACTTGTGGCATGCCTGGATTACGAGCACGTTTTCATTCTTACTATTTATTTGCACGTTAAAGAAAGCTGGAATCCCTTCTTCCTCTCAATAACAGTAAATGAACATATTTCTCCTCCCACAAATCTTTCTGTTCCATGTCTTGCAATTACTCATCTTTCCTCTTCTTCCACCCACCACCCCACCCCAGTTTGCAAAGAGTATGAGAAAAAAAACCAAAACAAACCAGGTCTCGAACATGACAGTAATCCCAGACTTGAATCAAAACTACCAATTTAGAAAACTCTTACCTGGAAGACTTGACTTGTTTGGTAGTATCACTTCAGCACGTTCTTCCTTCTCATCACAGGGATCCTCTTCATCAGACAGTACTAAGAAAGCCTCTTTTGGCAGACTTTCATTGCTTTCCTGCTTGGATGGTGAACCCAAACAGTTGTCTATTTTCTCTTCTAAATCTGGGACTGTGTCATCCACTGGAAGCAGAGAACTTTTAGAAAAACTGCTCAGTTCGTCTTCAGCCGGAGCTAGTTTTTCCAAAATTGGAATAATTTCATCTGTTTCCATAGAGTCAGTATTGTCCAAGATACTTTCACTTGGCTCATCTACTGTCTTCTGAACAGTGGTTTCTGAAAGACCTGCAGTGCCGTCTTGTCTGTCCTTTGGTTCCTGGTCAGCTTCCATACTGCTAGAGATGGTGGCTTCTCCAACAGCATCTTCAACAGTTACTTCTTCAGTCCTCTTTTCCTCTCCAGATGAATCGGAACTAATAGTTAAGTCATTTATTTCTCCCTTCTCTTCAGAAGAGTCACTAATATCACAGATTGATTTACTTTCACCTTCTGATGGGATGTCACTCTCTCTTTGGTCCAAATGATCTTTTGTATTATTTTCTTCATGGAAGTTATCTTTATTGCTACCAAGCACTCCATTTTCAGCCTCACAAGCTAAAGCAGTATCAGTATCTTTATCTTGCTCAGAAGTAACATTCTCTGGAGACAGTGTTCGAGGTTCGGGTTCTGTGTCATTGACTAGGTTCCCTGCCCTACTTTCAGGGCTTTTGGCTTCACTAATTTCATCAGAAGCTGTTCTTCCTTCTTCAGAGTTAACACAAAAGTCCACTACGCCATTAACTTCCCTCTTGTCCTCCATACAGTCTGTATTGCTTAAAGGGGAATTTAAATCAGAATCTCCATTCTCATGCTTTCCATTTAACAGTTTAACTTCAGTTGTCTTCAACAGCTCCTCTTTAACCTTATAGACAGCTTCAAGTTGTTGTCGATCACTTACTCTCATTGTTTTTCGTGCTTTAAAGACTTTTTTCTGAGGTTCATCCGTGCTATCCATCTTGACCCTTAAAAAAAAAGTTCAGAATGAATTGTGAAGGTAACAATTTATTATCATCATATTACAGTGTTCCTAAGAAAGACTGTGGTGTTTAGCACATTTTAAAGCAAACCGGTTTAACTGTATCTACAAAACCAAACAAACACCTGACAACACACTTAAATTTTATTTGTTCTCAGAAAAAGTGAATACAAGTTTCTACATACGCTGCACAAACACGTGTATGTAAAGATCACTGAGATCACACTACAACATTATGTAGTAATGTTCTGACTACACATTTTAGACCAGTCGCCTCGTAATAGTATTACAGCAGAGCCACATGACGAGGTTTTCTAGCTAGAAACAGGTATTGTGCTAATATAAGTGCCAGCAGCCTCTCTTCTTGTAAAAAAGTAAGAAATATTCTTGGTCCATCAGTTTACATTGACTTCATCTTTCTCAAACTATGTAATTCATGAGTTTCAAATAGAATTAACAACTGGGGTAAATGACAAGATTTTTTATATCAAGTAACTTTCAAGAAAACTTCAATATATTGAAAGAATTTTGGAATGTGCCATTAAGATACTTTTTTCTTCTGTATAGATAAAATAGACCTTCATATTTATACAATGGTTAACTGAATTTGGGTTTTTAGAGCACTTTCATTCAATCTGCAATAATATTTTACTAAGACCATTTGTGCTCATAAAAACTACAGGTTTTGTAGCTCCTTTTAGAAAAATTTCCTTTTTCAGGGAAAACTGATGTTTTTGCCCTCCATATCTTTTTATTCATTCCATCCACCCATGCAAATATGAGAAAAATAAGAACATTTATATATATAAAATTTAAGGAAAATAATGTTTAAAAAAATCTACTTTATCAAATCAATGAATGGAGTTAAATCCAGTATTACCTACGAAGTTAAAATAATTTTGTTGCAATACAACAAAATCTTACTTCATTTCCATTAAACAAAACAAACAAAAAAATCCATAGGTATTTTTAAACTGTATTTTCTCCCCATGTGGTCTTGTTTTAGGACTCAGTTTTAGAGGATTAGATATGATAATGCTGTTCAGAAGCAGAAAGCAGTTAAGGAACTTGTTATATCCTAAATGAAACTCAGCAACTAAGATCTTGAACCAGCTGACACTAACCAATTTAGCTCTACTGAAGCTACTACACCATCGTAAGCTACTCCTGTCTAGAGTATGACTTCTCTTAAGTTTCTCAAAACATGCGAAAATTCACTTGGGTAACAGTAGTTAGAAGATATTACAGCAAATAGAAAAAAGAAAGAAAATAAATCAGGCAGTTATCTCTAGATTAATTTTTTTTTCCCCACAAGCACCAGATAAGCAAGTGTTTATACCACTGATACAGCAGAACTATCATAGAATCATAGAATCATTAAGGTTGGAAAAGACCTCTAAGATCATCAAGTCCAACCGTTAACCCAACACCACCATGCCCACTAAACCATGTCCCTAAGCGCCTCATCTACACGTCTTTTAAATACTTCCAGGGATGGCGACTCTACCACTTCCCTGGGCAGCCTGTTCCAAGGCCTGACCACTCTTTCAGTAAAGAAGTTTTTCCTAATGTCCAGTCTAAACCTCCCCTGGCGCAACTTGAGGCCATTTCCTCTCGTCCTATCGCTTGTTACTTGGCAGAAGAGACCAACCCCCACCTCGCTACAACCTCCTTTCAGGTAGTTGTAGAGCGCGATGAGGTCTCCCCTCAGCCTCCTCTTCTCCAGGCTAAACACAAAGGATGCATTTTAAATATTTAGTACAGTTCATTCTGCATCTTCCCCCAATCCACTTTCATTTGCAGAGCTGAGAAATTCATTAATAAACTGCATTTTGTCTTTTCAGGTGGTGTATGAAAATTTTTTTTTTTTTTTGATAAAGCAAGCAGGGCTATCGCCAACACTAGCTCAGGTCAGCGATGGTTTTGTACAACCAAGTCATCAAATTCACAAAACAGATTCCACAGCCTCTAAGGAACAGTTTGGCTCCACCCTCTTTGTAACCAACCTTGCCTACAAGTTTTATTTAGGCAGCCATAAGATTGCCCTTTAGCCTTCTCTTCAGCAGACTGAAGTTGTCAAGCTCCCTCAGCACCACATGGTAGGTCACATGCTTTAAGCTCCTATCATTTTGATAGTCCTCTGCTGGATCCTTCCTAGTTTACTTGGAAAGTTTGTTTATGAAGGAAATTATTTAACATTTATGCATTGCCCAACTAGAATATTCTACGGTAAGATATGAATATATATTCTAAGGTACAATATGAATTCAACTATCAAGACAAACTCTAAGCCTTACAATCATGACATACCATACTTTACAATTGTAAGGCTTCTTTTACACTTCGTTAACATGACCTGACAAAAATATGGGCAAAATAGAAAGCAGTATGATGAAAAAAAAAAACCAAACAACTTTTTCCCTGATTTGCATTTCCTATTAATATAACATAGAGATTCCCTTCCACTTTATTTCAGTTCTTTTCTACATGACAATCTAGAATCCTCATATTTGAGTAACTGACGGTGCTTAAATAACACTTCAATTCGCACCTCAGGAACCGATGAACAAATCTTCACAAAGGGTTGTATCAGCTCTACTTACAGACTTTCAGTAATACCATTAAGACATGAATTTTTGCCAGTCTGAACTAGATTTTCTGAACAGGATTGTCTATTGCTGCATTGCCACTAGTGGGAGCAAAATATAACACCTATAGAAACAATGAGCTGAAACATCAGTTTACTTGATTTTAGAAAATGTTCTCATCACATAACCATTTCTGGTCAGATGAAATACGAACTCCAGGTGAGCTATTAATGTCCTTCCAGAGCTGTCTACATGCTAAATACAGCACCTCCGTATTCCTCCAGAAGAGAATACATTTAACACAGTAATTCTAGTCCTGAAGTTACGAGAAGCATATGAAAACCTCTAGTCCTTCAGAAGTGTGCGTGCAGTTTTTGAAAGCACATCCCTTCCTTCTTCCCAAGAACTTAGAATGTAAAGCACGTTTTTTTCACGTCAGTATAAAAGCATGTATCAGACTGTCACGTAATAGAGTACTGATCATCACACTCACGTTCCATGCATATAATTCCCTACAACCAATATGCATGCTCTCACAGATGTGTAGCTTGTAGAGCCAATTTGGAAAAAAATAGAAAATTCCAGGCTTGGCTAACCTTGAACAATTCCAAGAGCTCCTAATAGGTGACCAGCTAGTGAGAGTCTTCTGTTAATGTAGTACAAGGATACAGGGCCTTTGTATCAAAATTAAGACAGGCAAGTAGTTTGATCTCCCGGACTACAATGCTTTCTTTTATAAGCAGTACCCGGAAAGTTCTTATATTACAAAACTCACAATCCTACTTTTCCTATGACCAAAGGATACACTAACAGACAACTTAAAATCAAATTCATAAGTGCATCACTTAGTAATCATAAAATGTAACTTAAAACAAATTAATATTTTCTGCTCATTTCCTTAATCATCTAAGCAGTCTTTCATTCACATTTTTAACATAAAATACACTAAATACAGAGTAAAATGAAGGGCACTTCCTTTTTAAATTTGCCAAGAATAGCAGTCTTAAAAAAATCAAACATCAGAATACCTTTATATTGATGCATCCTTAGTTTTTTCTTAAAAAAATACTGAATGAATAAGCTTGAATTTCTAATATATTTCAAAATTGTGTTTACTTTATATATTAGGGTATTACCCAAAATCTAGTTTAAAAACAAAGCTCTAATAGAGTTCTACAATGAACCTGTACCAAAAAAGGCTTCTCATAAAATTCCATTGTTAGACGGTTATTTGAGCTACTCATGCATATTTTCAGCTCAATCCCACAATCTTTTGCAACCAAAGAATATCCAATGAAAGCTACCATAAGTGACAAAACTATAAGCATAGATGAGATTAAAAAATGAACCCTAAATGCTGGTTAACAGCTAAATATCATGTATCACTGCAGACCAGCCTTAAAGCGTTTCCAGCCATACCCACAAGGGAGCACACTGCAGCCAAGTAACAGATCTCATGTGAGAGCCGAGTAAAAGAAGAAACAAATAAATCGGTAACCAGTCCAGACAGGTTTGGTCATACCGGTGCAAGCCAATCAGCATTCATCTGATAAATCTGCCTTCCAGTCTTTCAAAGGGGTAAGGAGGTTGCCCGTCAGAGAGCAACTCCAGAGCAGGTAACGTGAATTCAGTCTTGCACAAATAAAACATTTAAAACAAACAGTGTTCTAAATGAATGCATATTGGTAGTCTCCCTTTATACTTAACAATTACCACGAAGTTTAGCTACGTTTGTGATCCACTTCCCTCATCTGATGCTTGGGTATTTTCAGTTTTTAGTCATCATGTGACCAAGTCACAAGAAGGAAACAAATGGCCCAGGCACCAAGCCAGCGGAGGGGCATCTTTCATTTCAAAGAAAGGCATTTGTACAGAACAGCACAAAATTACTCCTGCGTGTAGAGCTAAGCGTGTAAGGGTTAAACGCTGTAAATAAGGTGGTAGGTTTTGGGTTGCTTTTTTGTTTTTTTTTTTTTAAACACAATAATCAAGTTTGAAACATCAACACACACAAACATTGTGTACATTTGTTTAGATATCGTTTATGAAAATTCCTTTTTTCATTTTAAGCTTGAAAGTCATATATACTTCAGCATGAGAGACACAAACACACCATTAGGCACCTCCCTCCAATAACATTTGGAGATTTCTTTCTCATGACCAAACGTGTGCTACATAGCAAAACCAAAATGTGCCAGTGCAGCTGGGAATACGCGAAGGACTCCTCTCTCAGCCAATTAAAAAGTTTTCCCTTCTATTCCCTTATTTTTAAATTATTATTACTCTGTAGAGAGATTGCAGCTCTAAAGCAACAAAGGAAGGTATTAGTTTCCTGCCATGGATTAGCCTATAATCGGTGCTCGTATGAGCAGCCCAAGAGCTGCTCGAAAC